GATTTGGAAAGTTGTGACTTACGTGGCCTTATCACTTCTGTGGCTTTAAGTATTTCTCACACAAAGGCATCTCAGAGAGCCTCTGCAAGCCTTACATTTACCATGGTTGCTTGATGCTGTCCCCTCAGGGAACCTCAAATTAACGCCTCAGCCTGAATTCTTTACTCTCCCATCAAATCCGGCTCTGAGGCGTCTATTTCTTTGCTCAAGCTGGAAACAAATGTCACCTCTCTCACTCATCCCTACCTTCTAAGTCCAGCCATTTACCACGATCTGTTATTCCTACGGATCTCTACTCCTACCCCTTTGGCCCAAAAAGATCAGAATGTCTCAGCTACATTCAGGAAGTAAATGCGCTGACCAATCTGCACCATTCCAGTACCAGAAATCTCACTCAAGAGAGTGGAGACCACTACTTTAAAGTCTTTAATATTGTTCACGGCGCTTAGAGGAAAGTGCAAACGTCGTCCCTTGGCCTGCAAGAGCTCCGATCCCACAGCTTCACTGAGTGGCATGCCCCTTCTGGCCCAGCCTCCTCGGCTTCTCTTTCCTCCTCAGAGGTCCCGGCCTTCCTCAGTCTTCCGAGGGTCCGCTATATGGAGTATTGTCTAGACCACATCTCTCCCACACCGGTGTTTAACAAATGTCAGGCGTGAACATCACAATCTCAGAACAGGCTGGCTCTCCTCCCTGGGTCGAGCCTCTTGTTAGATACTTCTGTAAGACCCTCGCTTGCATAAAATACTAGGTGTCTCATTTTGGACGAAGGATTTACCTCTCTGTTCCTGAATCTCCGCAACTGTGCATTAAGGATTTTATTTCATGATTGTCATCACATTCGTGATTTGGTGGAAGCCGTCTTCCTCGCCTTTGGGGAAGGATCCTGTGTTGAACATTTTTAATTCCTGCTCAACCAAGTGCTGAATCCATACCAGAGAGTCAATAATGGGTGTTGGGCAGTAACAGCAAAATCATGACACGGGAATGACCAGGTGGCATGCTTGGAGAACTTGGAAGAGGGAAAATGTATTCTCCTCTGGAGACCCAGAGGAACTAGCGTCCTAGGAGAACTGGGCCCAGAAGGGCGCCTAGCATCGCTTCATACTTTGTCTACACAGGCCAGGTCCCAGAAGTGGAATAGGTGGGGATACTGAGTAAAGGAATAAGGGGGCCGGGGATGGGTGCGTTCCGGGAATGAGGAAGTGCATGGGGGCAGGGAGTATGCTGGGCTTCTTTTCCAATGGTTAAAATTCCCCGGTAGGATCTTCCTTAGAGAATAAGTGAATCATGTAAGCTATATTTCCCCAATCAGATTAGGGAGTATATCTACTTTGCAGTTGCAATGAAGGATCAAAAATACAATAGCAGATCATGATCTTCTTTCTGCATCTTTGAAATGTTTGTTATTCGAATTCAAACACTACCGAGCTTCCCATATGCCATACGCAGCTCTAGACGTCGGAGGTAACCTGTGAACAAAATGCTTGCCTTCAGGAAGGTAATTAGAAAGCATCACCCACTAGCAGTAGAGTGCAGGTTTATCTGTTCCATGCCTTAAAGAGATCCTGTAACGATACAAAGATGGAAAGGTTACCGGCAGGTATGTTGCTTCAAGGATGGAGATGCTGGAGAGGCAACCTGGCTGGAGGAAAGGGGCATGCACTTCAGAGCAATCATTAGAAATATACAAGCAAAGCCCTGAGCAATGCCTGCAATGTAGAAGTTGTTCCAGAGTGGTCACAGAAGCTGAGGGGATAGGACTCTAATACCCCCCACCCCACCCACCCCAAACACTGAGGACAAGCATCAAGAAATGCTTTCGCCTTTCTAAAATATTTTCCACATTTCAGGAAGAATGTAGTCAGGTAGTGCCAGTTTGAGTGAAAACACAGACAGATGTACAGAAGGGAATTCCACCAAGAAGGACCGAAATATGTCAGGATCATCCCCAGGAAATCCAAGCCATCTGTAGAGTTCTGCAGAGCGCCGTGTGGCTTCCTCAAAGACAGTTGCGGACTGTGGGAGTTAGATGACTTTATTTCAATTTGAGTTTTTAACAAAAGTATAGGGGTGGAGTCCAACCTGTCAATCAGGTCACAAGCCTGAGGATGCCTCCTTGTGGGGGGAGGCCTTCCTATAAGCAGGAACCTGAGAATCTTTCTGCCCCCTCCCCTTCCTGCTTGCTGGGACTCGGTCATTGACCCTGAGAGCTGCCAGTGCCCTGCAATGTTTACATGGACTTTGGATCCACATGAATTTGCACCCACCAGCCTGCGATCTTCCTGCATTCCTTCCTGCATTCGTTGGCATTGCATGTAGCTGGGTAGAGGGACTTACAGACTAGGATTACACTCATGGATTTCAGTTGAACTGGGTTGAGATACTTTCATGATATAAAGTTATTTCTTATAAATATGAGTGTCACTGAATTTGTTTCTCTGGTCAATCCAGCATAACATGGGGACTGAAAGAAGACAGGCGCTGACACTGAAGGGCCATGTATGTCAGGCTGTGAGCTCAAACACTCTCTGAGGGCAATAAGACTCCCCAAAAGATTCTATACTATGGATCGAGGGGGTAGGAAAATATGTAGTGGGAGAGGCCACTCTAGTTCCAAGTGAGACGTGTAACTGGAATCAAGCTGCTTAAAGGTTACGTGAGATTATTTGGAACGGCTCTTCTATACCTATCTCTGGAACTCTCACCAAATGCTGGGAGGAACTCATGCAAATAGAGTCTGTGAAATACTGGTGAGAGAGGTTTGGTCAGTTTTGACTTTCCACTGAGTATATAAGAGTGACCCATCACAGAAAGAGGGGGTAGAGAATCCCATGGCCATTGAGAAAGAAAAGCCACCAGTGGTGCATGTGTGAGATTCTGGTCTGAGGGGATAGAGGGACCAGGGGCACCAGAGGCTACAGTCACAAGATCATGACACAGAGCAGATGAGCCACACCAAGACCACGAAACACAGCACAGGAGCAGTGCCAAGACCTTGAGGCAGAGCAGCAAGTGGGCTGATGGAGGCGAAGACCAAAGATTAAGAGGCCAAAGACCTGAGAGACACGCCGGCCAGCACAACTAAGCAGCTGAAAAGGCAGTGCAGACAAAGAACTGTGTCCTTACCATAATAACCAAACACACACACACACACCAAAACCACATCTGGAACAGCTGCTACAATTGCAGTCACCACTGGTTAGGGTTATGACAACTACTGCTATTTTCCAAGATCCACCTGAGTTGTGCACAGGCCAAATAGAGTGGGTAAATGGGGATATGGTGGGAAATGTCCCCCAGGAGAGGAGGTTATATGTAGATCCTTGTAAGTGGGTCCCCTTTTCTACCCCACCTTCCCTCCACCCTCCAGGTATCACCACTCTCACCACTGGTCTTGAAGGGGTCATCTGTCCCGGATTCCGTGTGTTTCCAGTTCCTATCTGTACCAATGTACATCCTCTGGTCTAGCCAGATTTGTAAGGTAGAACTGGGATCATGATATTGGAGGGGGGACGGGGGCAAGGATGCATTTAAGTAAAGTTGTATGTTTCATCGTTGCTACCATGCACCCTTGACTGACTCGTCTCCTCCCTGTGACCCTCCAGTAAGGGGGTGTCCAGTTGCCTACAGATGGGCTTTGGGTCTTCATTCTACACTCCTCCTCATTTACCAGACCTGACCTTCTTCTGCTTGCGTAGATAAAGTGAGTATCTGCCTACATGGCCAACACGATAGGTCCCTGAGTCAGACTGTTCAGATGACTACTTTGACTCCGCTGCCCATGGCAGGAGCCATGCCCCTTTGACTGAAGAGCTACCACTTAGCCCCTACCGCCACAGGGCCCAATCTTCATTCCGGCCAGTACCTTAATTCACTATGGCAGCTCCCACTGTCAAGCCTAGCTGAGGTAGCATAGCAATTGTAAGAGTCTTCAGAGATGCTAGGGTTCCCTTCTCAAATCTATTGATTTGGGAAAAGCTATGGCTCCATCTCCTGTCACCTGCTTTCTGCCCTGTGATGCCTGGCCATCTGTGAGCTCCCCAAATGATACCCCCATGCCTTCCCAAGATTCCTCCAGCCCTCCCAGGATCCACTGTGCCCAGGTAGCCAACATCCTCTGACATCCTCAAAAGGAGCTCTTCTCACTTGCCGGTGCAGGGGCTGCTCATTCTTTTTGCCCTCGGATCCCACTCATGTCTCCCCCGGGGAGACTCCTTGATTTGCTTTTCTTCAGAGGCTGCTCCCGATACGATCTGGGGGTAAGTTATTTCCTTTAGGGCAGTTACCCATTGAGAATAGTTTATGGGTCTGTAAGCTGGCTTCAAGGTTGAGATTGATTGAGAAGCAGCTACTCCATTTTGCATAGAGTTTACTTCTCTGCGATATAAGATTCTGAGGACAGACACTCTCGGTCTTACGCAATGAGAATTACACATTAGAACTGCTTCTTACGAAAACGCTTCACTTCCCAAGGCGGACACAAAGTCACATGCTGGTAGGTTGGAGGTGAATGTCTTAAACTTCAAAAACTGTACACCCTCGATGGGAAGAGGGAGTGTCCTCCATGTGTCCACAGAGAAAAACAGCATGACTGAAGACCCCTCATTTCCCAGCTAGCCTGAATAAGAAGATGAGCTTCCGCTTGTAATCTTGTAGCGCCTGCAGACAACGTTGATGCAGCCATTGATGGTGATGGAACACTGACTTACTACAATCCAGGGGCTTAGTTTATTTATTTCTAATTCTCAAAACTACCCTGCAAGATAGGTATTATTATATATCCACATGAGATAACCATGACTCAAAAGGAGACAAACGTCACTCTACATCTAAAATGTAAATCCCACCCAGAGATTGCTAGAGTCTCTCAAAGGTCTGTTAGAACATTTCTTCAGAGCACTATAGCACGCGCGCACACACACGCACACACATACACACACAACACACCCTTTGTTTCTCCCGCTCCTCACACTGGAAATAAAAAGCCTTAAAATTTCAAATTCAAGTTTAAAGGTAGATTTATTGGTTGTCTCTGTTACACAGTCAAGTGAAGACATCTCAGAATAGAGCATTCTTTGTTTGGGCTTCCTGTTGCACTGAAAGACCACTGTCGGGTGCAGCGCCTCTGACAGTTAGTGGACAACAGGAGCAGACAGTTGCTGGTTCTTATTCCTATGATTCACTCCACAGCTTTGGGAAATTTTTTGGTTTGGCATTTCTTTCATAGCATCTTCCTCTTTTCAAACTCCTTCAGAAACAGAGAGAAGAAGAAAAGACCCAGATAACATTCATGGCCAGACTAACTCTGAAGTCTCTTAGTGTTAGATCCTTTAGGCTCCCACAAGACAGAAGTAAAATGTACCAGGATGAGGGTGTCTGAGTATAAAACACCAGCTTTGGAATTAGCCTGTGTCAGCTTACATTTCATCAGGCCAAGTGTGCAGCTTCAGCTTTGTGCCTCCTCAAGCAGGAAGCAGCAGAGGGAGACTTCCCTTCCGACCTGGTGTTATTGCTGGGGGCTGACACACCTGGCTGTGCTCACACACACCTGACAGGCTCTACATGAACCACCACTGACCCTTGTAGGAAGGCAATGGCAACCGAAGGCGTGTTTAGTCCAGAATAAGCACAGAATCAGTAAGGATGAGTACAAAATAGTAAGAACCTCAGATAGACCTGAAAAGGAAACAACAGTGAACAGTACACTCTCTCTGGAGTGGGACACTGGGCTGCAACATGTGTGGATGTTGGCTGCCATCTAGTGGAGGGGAAAGGCAATACATGTCTCCAATGCGAAGTCAGGCATTCGCTTTTCTGTTTTTGTCTCTGCTTTCAAATAAAACTCTTCACATACTGACTAATCACTCAGAGTTCATTCAAATGCTGTAGACCATAACGTCATATTCCCAAAGACAAGTTCATTTACAGAATCAATGAAACAAGGAGTCCGTCTGAGTGACCCCAAAGAGGAGTATAACAAATGAAACAAGGAGTCCGTCTGAGTGACCCCAAAGAGGAGTATAACAAACGAGCCTGGTGAAGGCGTCTCCGAACACTGCTCCCCAGAGGGAAAAGGTGAGCCTGTTTTTAACACCCTGACATGAAGGACGTGGTTTCTTTCTTTGTTTACTTCCAAGGCTCTGGCCATCACAAAAACAACAGGGAGAGGGAATCTCACAAATATTTATCAAGGAGACATTGCTCAAAATTATCTCCAAGAGCTTATGGAATACATAAAATCGTTTTAAGAATATTTTCAGCCAAACGCTTTTAAAAAAAATTAAGTCAAACTTCTAATATCTACACAACAATGACAGCTGGCCAGAAACAAAAGGCTGGGCCCCTCCCCTCTGATCCCCCTGCACCTAGGTTTCACTTCTGGTGACTTAGCCTCCTGGCCCTCTCCCTGCAAACAGACCTATGAGGTTAAGGTCCTCCCCAAGGGCCTCGTGGGAAAAACAAAACCAGAAGCAAGTCTCTGCAACCCACCCCCAGCCCCCAAATGGGCTTCCTGGCACTTCTGAACTCAGAACTGCATTCCTCCAAGTTGGATTGTACTCCATACAAAGCATCAAACACAGTCTTGAATGACCTTTTTAGCCAGAAAGTTCTTTTTGGTCAGCCTTGGTTGCAGAGAAGAAACGAGCCCTCTCACCTTGTACATGGTGCTCCCCAGCTGGGCGGGAGACATGCTGATGACGACCCCGGCGCTCTGGAGGGCAGAGATCTTCTCTTTCGCGCCCCCTTTGCCTCCTGCAATAATCGCCCCCGCGTGACCCATTCTCCTGCCCGGAGGAGCTGTTAACCCGGCAATGAAGGACACCACAGGCTTGGCATTTGGACCCTGGATAGAAAGTGGTATTTTAAACAAAGGATGTTGTTTCCGGATATTACTCTGAAGAAGAAAAGTTGATCAAAATTGGACTTCAAATTCATGATGGCTAACACAAGGGGAAATGGCCTGGGTGGGGGAAGGCCCATCACTTACGCTAAGAAAACTAACCACATTGTGCTAAGAGCTGACGCCACTCTTCCACATGCTTTCAGGAAAACAACGCCGGGCAAGGGCTCTCTCTGATACGACACAACTTTACTGGTGTAGGCAATTTAATAAACACACGTGACCCTTCAGCTTGAAAGCCAGAAGAGTACATCTGATCTTGTGTGAACTAAAACAATCTGCTTGTGTACCCTGAGTTCATTAAGGGGCACTGGTGACACAGAGGGTCAAGCGTTGGGGTAGTGGTTCAAAGCCCACCCACTGCTCTGCAGAAGGATGTGGCCGCCGCTGCCTCAGACAGCCTCAGAGCCCTGGGCAGCAGTTGGACTCCGGCCCTTAGGGTCGCACTGAGTCTGAATCAACGCAACAGCGGTGGGTTTGCTTGGTTTAGGGAAATACTCGCTAAAAGAAGAGGCTCAGGTAGGAGTCATTAGACCCACCTCCCTGTTAACTAATGAACGGACTGTAGGTGGCCATGGGTCAGCACTCTGAAAGGTCACGAGGCCTAAGAAAGGAGATGGGGTGGGTTTTATTTCGAAGATCTGTTCTGAGGTACAACTGCTATGTGAACATGTAACATTCAAACAGTGCACAGGGCAGCTGACTGCCTTGATTCGGGTGCCTTTCACACAGAGCAGTAAGTCTCAAACTGTTTGGTCTTAGAACCCCTTAGAATCCCAAAGAAAATTTTTAAATACTCATAAATTCATTTAGAAACAACCTTTTTTTTTTAAGATAAAACAAAACAAACTGTTTTCAAAATCAAAACAAATTTCGGTGCTGAGTGCCGATGTTTTACATCTCTGGGAGTCTCTTTAACGCACAGTGTATAAATAGAAAGGGAATCTGGTATCTGCTTTTGCATTCAATCTGTCACCATGTTATTTTAGTTGGGGGAGATAAAATCTGGCCTGCACAGACATGTAATCAAAAAAGGGAAAAGCATTTTAATGGCTTTTCAGATAACTGTGGATATTGTGCCTTAACACGTCACAAAACTCTTCAAGAGGTAATTTCTTAAAGATTAGATACAGTGGTGGAAATCTGAAACCACAGCAGTGAATTTTGTATTCCGTTAACTTTAAAATCTATTGGTCTTGGACTTTGAATGGATCTTTTCCTCACGATTTTGTAACATGCATTAGTCAGTTGGATAATAGTTCACAGTTATGCAGATCTTTCAGAAGCTGACAAATGTAATCATTTGATATCCACAAATCACATTTACCAGTGGCACTTCCAGTCTCATAGAGAAGCTTTTGGGGGTCAGGAAGTCGTCAAGCCCACGGTGACAGACACAGGTTTCCAAAATTCAAATCTTTACTTGCACCCTGAAGTCTCAGCACTGGCACAGACAGCGCGGCCACTGTTCCTGCACTCGAGTTGAGAAGGTCTGCCCAACAAATACCTGCACCTGAGGACGAAGCCTGTCTGGCGGTCAGTCTTTCCAGCCCAGCGGGTACGTCGTGGAAACACGTGGTTCACCCTGAACTCATCTTACACGTGTCACTGTACATTGACTTCCCATGTTAGCACACACATTGGCTCCAGCGTGAAACTAACTAAAATTAATAATGTGTGCTATCTAGTCAAGGGCATTTCAGGTGAAACCAGTTCTCTTTTTTTACTGGGGGTGCACAGCAGGGAATGACCACAAGTAGGGGGCTTCCACCGCCGCCATTCGCACTGAGCTGGGGCTCGCAATGCTCTCTTTGCTGACTTTGCGGACGGCTGCCTCCTCTTCCAGGCACCCGACTCCACGGGCTTCTCCGGTGCGCCAAGCTGTTTCCTGCCTGTTTCTCTGCGGAGAGTGTTCTCCACCACCTGGGATCCCTGGCCAATGTCCATTTAATAGCTAAGACTTGCGCAGGCTCCTCTTCCCCCAGAAGGCTCCCCTGGCTTCCCCGCACACTCTCTACCAGTGCCCTCGGTCAGCCTGCTGCGCTTTGTACATGTTTCTACGGTTAAACTCCATACACAGGAGCACCTTACTTTCGACTGGCTCCCCTTCTGAGAGAGGAATTCCTTGAACAGAGACTGGGTTCTCGTTCATCTCCGTGTACCCCACATGGACCGGAGACTAGCGGAATCGATGAAAAAGAAGGGACTCCACGAGTCACTTGTGCACTCAGAGACTGAGGAGGATTGGTACCTCACGTGTGAGGGGTACGAATTCCCACTGGGTGCCCCTCTGCCCTGTCAAATACTGGGGAGTGTTATTACAACAAAGGAAGCAAGATTAGGATGGCCCTAGGATGAGAAACAAGCTTGCAATCTGCCCTACTGACCACAAGAGTCCTCTGAGATGGTTAAGCAGAGAAAAGTCAGCCCCAAAGAACACGGGCACTAGGGGACGCGGAGACCACGAGGAACGTGACGCCTAAGAACTCAGAGAAGGATTTGTGTGGTATCGGTGTCTGCCCAACCACAGGCGCGGCCTCCTGCCTTTGTCCTACACCCCTGCAATCTTACATGGTGTAACAGAGAAGTCAGGCCGACCTGGGTTCGAATCCCACCCCTGCTCGTTGCTGTGCACCTATCACTGGCAAGGTGTTAAACGTGTGCCTATTTCCTCACTCACACAAAGAGGACAAAAGGATCTTATAAAAGAATCATGTAAACACTTAAACGGCACAACTTTAGCCAGTAATTGTAGACATGGTCTCAGTAGAGCAGCGGCAGCACTGTTGCCGCGGTGAGCTTCAGACTCAGGTCCGCCAGGGGCTGGAGACCACCCGCTGTTCTCAGGGAGAGGGACGAGGCTGCCTGCCCCCCTAAAGATTTACAAAATCCTCAGAAACCCGGGGCTGGAACCGACTCAATGGCAGTGGCTTTAAAAAGTTTTTCTTTCAAGTACTGTGTGAAATGCTTTTTAAAATATGTCATATGAACTGATTAATCAATAAAAAGGTTAATCCCTTAAGAAATCATCAGGATAGGAAAATATATGTGAAATAAAAGAAAACATGGATGAGAGGCTTTTCCTCACAAAATTTTATGCTGCTCAAGAGCCTCAGAGTTGCCCCCCCAAAAAAATTTTAATTATATCTTAACATAGTGTCACATCATCTTACCTTAAAACTTTCCTTTCCAAAGAGAAGTCAGTTTTTACTTAAATTGCAAACTTAACAGCTTTTCTGAATTCAAAAGATCATAATAACATTTTACTCTAACCTCCTAACAATCTACTTTTTTCTTTCATTTATTATTAGTGCCCACTGCGTTAGCGGACTGGGCACCAAGGAGAACTGTTCTCTGCCCTACACACTGTAGTCCACACGAGTGAGGCCTTCAGGACTCTTTGTGGAAGCAATAAGGCAGGGCTGGGGAAAAGGAAAACAAGTAACATGCTCAACAGGACGTGATCTAGGAAGAAAACAGACAGAAGCCATGGCCAGGTGGGCCTGCAGCCGGCGCGGAATGGGAATACCGTGGCTTGAAACAGGTGCAGAGGGCGTCACTGTTTGTTCAGAAAGGCGTAGAGACAGCAGGGAGGAAACGACTGGGATGGTCCCAGTGACCAAGACGAAGGCCTGAAGCTCTAGTTACACATGAGTCTGAGTCTGAGTCTGAGTGTGAGTGTGAGTGTGAGTCTGACTGCAAAGTCTGGGAGGAAGAACTCGGGAACAAGTACAAATGAGATGAGAGAGAAGTGAGAGATAGTTCTAAGGTAGAAACCTCCTTGGAAACTAACTGTCTGATGCCATCTGAGTATATGAGGATCATCTACCCTTAAGGACTGGCAATAAAATATATCCTGGGAAAACTAAAGAGGAGAAGGTGCCGAAGAAAACACAAGGGCTGGCGAAAGGAAGCCTAAATCAAGGTCCCTGACGCCGTCCACGGGGGCAATGCCGCAGAGTAAGAAGACCGAATGGTAACAGCGGCTAACAGCTCAAGAAGTGGGCTTACTATTACAGGTGCAACTGTGTTTCAGATGAGTATTCAGTATTCACACTTCACAAATTGGAGGGGACACGGGGAAGAGGCTCGGGGTAGAAGAGTGGAGAACAGACACCGTGGGAAAAGGGGAGGGGAATCCACCTAGAAAGAGTCCCAACCTGAAGACCTTAGCAAAAATGGGCTTAATTTTATCTTCCATAGTCTCATAAAAATTCATCTTACCAACGAAAGTTTCTAAAATAAGTAGCATTCAAGAATATTTAAAAAAGAAAAAAGGTGTCATAGTTTAACTTTATGGGCAAACTTAGCCAAGGTCTGATTCTCAGTGGTTCTGCAGGTAGAGAACTGGTTGCTGTTCATTAATGTCCCATAATGTGACTGCATTCCAGCGTGAAATCTGATGTCACCAGCCCTTCACTTGAACAGGAAGTCTCCTTGGGGCTGCCTCAGACGACAGACCGCATTCTGGGAGAAGAGGGTTCTTCTCACCACCTGACCTGCGGATCTTGGGACCCGAGTCTGCAGAAGTCTCTAGCCTACTGCAGGACTTACCTACTTTGGACCCACAAGCCCCACAATTGCATGAGCTAATCCCTTGAAGTAAATCTCCACCCATGACTATGTATGTATGTACGTGGAAGTACACACAGATGCATCTCAATGAATCGGATCCAAACTATGATGAAGAGTAAACAGTTACATAGTCCTTAACACAAACTTACTGTATTATGTTGCTTCAAATACTCTGCAGCATCTTCTTCTGCATTTCCACCAATTTCACCGATCAATATGATGCCTTCCGTGGCTGGATCATTCATAAAGACTTCTAGGCAGTCAATAAAGTTTGTTCCATTAAAAGGATCACCTCCAATGCCTGAAAATATAAAATAATATCAACGCCCATGGAAAACGTATGAATGAACCATGGAATTTAGGTCAAGGAATGCTATTTCTATAGGGGCTCTGCTACAAGCACAGAATGACTTCAAGATTACAAATGAGCATCTGCAGATGCTCCTTAAAGCCTGGCGGTCATGTTCTTTTAAATTAGAAATGGGGTTGATTTCTTAATTTTCCATTTATCTCTGAAAAATAAAGTTGAGAAAAAGAACTTGCACGTATTAAATGCAAAGGCGTACATATTGGGGCTATTCCCCCAGCTCCCTATGAAACGTCATTATTATTCTCAGCTTAGTGCTTGAAAACTGGCGCTGGAGAAGATGGACTTCGGCAACATTGTCTCGAAGCCTCTTCTCACTCTCCATCACTCGGTCCAGCACAGTGTTTTGCACAGAGACTCAGCTGATGTCTGCAAACTGAATTCAGGGCCCTGAAGCTAATAAAAATACTCCAGAGTTTTATTTGATCATTTTAGAAATTTTAAAACAGCAACAACCAAGCCTAATTTTGAAAGGCTTTTAAAAGGTGGTTTAAGGATTTGAAAGCAGATTTAATCTGCCTGACTTTTGGTAATAAACTCTGAAATTATGTGACATAAAAATAGGATGTGGGAAAAACAACCTTCCTCAACCTTGAGTTTCTCACCAATAAAACAGTAAGATTTCCCAATTCAGAGATGGCTCAGAGGGCTGTCTTGAGAATGAGATAATGAATAAAGAAATAAGTAAGTGTGACACACCTGACATTAACTCTGGTAATAAAAATCCTAGTGTGAAAACCCTGTTTTATTTCCCCAGCACACAAAGTAAGCGTTCTGTTTAGGCCTAGCTCTCCAGCAGCTACAGACCCAAGGATGTTCGATCCTCAGCCTGGTCATCAACTGTGGGCCTACGAATTAAAATAATGATGAGACCTAGGAGCTTCACACTCAAGTCAATCGAAGATCACCAAGCCTGCCTCATAAAATCAGTAATCACTGCACTCACTGAATGGCACTACCTCTGATACAACAAGTGTAACAAACAGCCCTCACCAATGCACAAGGACTGCCCTAATCCAACTTGTGTCGTCTGGTGAACTGCCTCATAGGTCAGGGTGCCAGATCTGGACACAATGCCTTGACAAAAGAAAATTCAAAAATGTTAGCTTATATTCCCATGGCAGACTCATACAATCAACATAATCACAAATACGCTGAATAACCACGATGGGCATGCATAAAATACATTCTAACATTTTCAAGTGATTTTAATTATTGTTGCTTTATGACAACAAAACTGCTTCAAGACAGATCTACATGACGTATTTTGAGGTTCTTATGAAGGGGATAATGTCAATATGAACTTGGTAGAGACATCCTGCTTCGAGGTGGCAGAAGATAGTACAGGCACCCACACTTCAACCCGCCAAAACCGATGTCTACCAAACCAGCATTAGTCACATGCTACCCACCTTCCTCCTGAAACTATTTTTTCCCAATTATTTTCAAAAAATATATCGGCTATAGAACAACTATAAAGAAAAATAAGGAATAAGATCAAGATCGCCCTGGAGTCAAGCCTACCACCTAATTTCCTTTATATCACGGGCTTGTAGTTGCTCACAGCTGGACAAGGTGCATGTGGAGGTGGGGAAGGGTGTAATGGCAGCTGGTGGCTTACAATGGCTGGCTGAGGTACAGGAAAATACTTAATGCAAGTCACAATGTATGCAATAATTTTAAAACAAGAAAAATCTAATCATTGGATCCCCAATTTTAAAAGGTTGACAAGTAACTTCAACTGTTGTAACACTTTATCTAAAATATTTACACACTTAAAACAGAAGACTGTGTTTGGGTTAAAGGCTATGCTATGGATGCAGATCAGAGCGCTGACTGGAGTGGTGGCTATTTCGAGGGTGTCCACGGTTGGATTTCTTTAAACTTTTCCCTCGGAGCATTCTTTAAAGACACAGAAGACAAGCCCCCAATAAAATGATTAAAAATTTTTTAAAAGACACAGAAAATGCTTTTCTAACACCATGATGAATTCTTGTCAGAGGGAGGCAAAAATCCTGTTACGAACACTGCACACTTACTGGACACTAAGTGTAAATCAGTGCAGAAGTACACATCTTCTAATCCTGAATTTGGGTACACAGAGGTGCAGATTCTCAGTACAAGTCAAAGGAAAGGAAAGGTGCACGCACGCATGTGTGTCTTGGCCACTCCTAGACAGTGCCCTACAAAGCACTGTCAGCTAGCTCTTTTAGTGTAATTGTACCACACAGTAACATGTCCGTCCATGCCTGTGGTGTAGTGAAATTCCTTAATATGGCTCAGAATCTATCCATGTCTTTGTAACTCTGAACAAAATGACCGGGTGGACCAAATAAGGTGGGACTGGTCAGTATGTGTTGCCATTCTACTGTGTATTAGAGAGCCATCTCCGGAGCAGGAGAGAAGGACATTCCCGAGACCATCATGGAAGGAGTCGCCACGGGGGCACATTTGAAATCCTTGCCTGAAGTGGCAGAGACAACAGAGCCATGCCACACCAAGACCAGAGGCTGAGGCGAGGAGACCATAAGAAAGGGAAGAGGAAGAGTGTATGAACAATGAAATTGTGAGTTAGAGCTGTGGGTGAGCTTCCTGGCCCGTGGATGGGGCCCACCACCTGGCTGCGAGCCACAGGACCAGAGAAAGAGACACGGCTGCAGGCTGAGGACCAGTGACTGTGTCCTCGGTGTTTTCGGATCCTGGCTTGTAGTAACTTGTTAACTTCCCTAAAACAAAGCACCAGAACTATGAATGTTGTCTGGCTTCTGTGGGGCCATTGCAACAAAATATTGAACCCAGCAGATGAGAGGTGTCAGAATAGGATAAGGACAGACAGAAGTTAAGGTATGTGACAACTGGTCTTGAGCTAACCCACTATTAGACAAAAATTCACACCACCTTTCATGATACATACTGAAAGCTAATGTGCCTTTTCTGTTGAGGTTTTTCCTGATCTCACTCTCAAAAAGATGTGAGAAATGGTCTTTCTTGTCTCTAAATAGTCTCTGTTGGAAAAGGTCCCCTCAGTTGGGCGAGGGCGAGAGGGCATAGATGGGTGAAGACACAGGCACAGGGGTCACCCGATAAATGAGACGTCTGGAGGGTAACTGTCATGACTGAGGGTCCAGTAAGTGAATGGGCTTGCAACTACAGGAATCAGACTTGGCTGAAGGAGGTGTACTGAGTTTTCAGTTTTGACCATTTCGGCAAACATTTATTGAGCACATTCTGTACCTGGACAGATGCTCCATACTAAGAACACCTGGGTGACAAAAGGCTTCTCTATGGACCTGAAGCAAAAAGGAGAGGCAGCACAGAACCGATGATCACTGGTAATCTCTTACTGACCCAAATGGCAGGAGAAAGGTGCTCTTAATTGGCAAATCAGAAATGTGGTCAGAACACAACTGGATGCGCAGATGCCAGCAACCTAGGGCAAGCAAGGGCCTGGGTGTGATGATCAATGAGCAACATGAAGGAGGCTGGCAACAGGCTGCATCTTGAGCACGTCCCTGTCAGTATCCTGATTTTCCTAGTATCAGTGTCATTGTTATGAAGGTGTTACCATTGGGAGAAACTAGGTAAAAAGTACACAAACGTCTATAAGTATCTCAATGTAAAATGTGTTATGAGTATCTAATTATCTCAATATTGAAAACAATGGGGGAAAGGATTGGAGGGGTGGGATCAAATATGCCACATGTGGTTGAAAGCATCAAAATGTGTTCAAGGTAGACATCATTCGTGGGGAGGACTTCGCTACTAGCAAGAAAGAGAAGTCAGGAGTAGAACACGACCTCTGGGCCTGGGGCCCCTGCACTGAGCAGCTCCTACACCAGCGGAAGGCTGATGACCAGGACCTTCCCTAGAGCTGACCCTGAAAGCCTCCTCCTGTGGTGCAGCTCTGAACGTCAACTTCTAGCCTCCTGAAAGCAGGATGTTAAATTCTGATTTTTAGAGCCAGGAGGTGAGGGGTAAGGTATCACTGGTCTGGAATCCTGCAATTTCTTCTTTCAATACATTTAACTAACTGCTAAATAATTTTATTACCTGCCATTAACACAAGCTGGAGAGCCACTGAGACTACTACACTGTTATGATGTTACCTTCTGTCAGTTCAGAAATACCCAGAGAACTTTATAAAACACTCTCTTTTCCTCTAAGCTCTAACCTAAAGATCTGAAGTGAGTGAGGTTACTGAAGATAATCTGCACTGGTGCCAAATGTACAATCAACTTCTTTTCACCTCTCAAAAACCTCACAGTCACATTCTTTTCTCTGAAGTTATAGACACACACACACACACACACACACACACACACACACACGCACGCACATCCTGACCAATGTTAGGGACATTTAGCAAACCAAAGTCTAAAGGATTTGCTCAAATTGACATAGTCACAGATTTTCCTTTGAGTTTTTAGTTTAAAGCAAAGACCTTTTTTTAGACCATAATAACAAACATACTTACCAATTCTTCCTTTCTTGTGAATATGGCCAGGCATGATACCAATTTTGCATTCACCAGGCTGAAAACAGATCAGTGACATAAGAGGGGGGGGAAAGTGATTCCACGATCATGTTCACTTGGACTGATTCAAAGCTGGCTAGCGTCAGGAGACAAGAACCCCAGGCCGTTTCCCTCTGATTACACTCACATTGATGACTCCGGGGCAGTTTGGCCCGATCAGCCTCGTTTTTCCCTGGCGCAGCAGTGTGTGCTTGACCCGGACCATGTCCTGCTGGGGGATGCCCTCGGTAATGCACACCACCAAGGGCATCTCTGCCTCCACAGCTTCATTTATGGCCGCAGCAGCAAAGGGAGGAGGGACATAAATGACAGATGCTGTCGCTCCTGTCTTTTCCTTGGCCTGAAACAGTAATCATGAAATGCTTTATTTGGAAGTTGGAAACACTGTAAAATCAAGTCCAACCTGAACCCTGCGAGCACTGTACCCTCATTCCTGTCCTCTTGTATCCAGACCCAGGCTAAGTCATTGCCCCACCTATCAAGTACCACTGCCCAGAAGAGCAAGAACTATTGAGCTCCAGAGCCCCTCAGAACTCAGCTCTCCACAGTTTGTGGAAAAATGCAATTACAGGATAATGGAATTCGCCTAGGAACCTTTAGAAGGCCCCTGGCGTTTACTAAATCTAATCAAGAGACAGCAAAAATGTAGTGGCTTTTGGGCAATTTCTTTTAGCTGACATTTACTCTAAATATAAGTTTATGAGAAATAAACCTAACTAAAATGCACACGCACGAACGTGCATCAAATAAGCATTTGGTTCTATTATTACATTAGCGCTCGAAACGCATGCAAAGTACTTGGAGACTGAGCCTCAGTTCTCTCTGCAGACACGAGCCTGCTAGGGCCTTCCTGCTCTCTCTATAACAATACAGAAGTACCTCTGCCCAACACCATGTCCGTCTCACCATAACCTACGCTCCTGAAGCCACCGCCTGTGGTCATCTCTGACTTTCCTTGAGCAGCAAGCAGCACCTACTTCGTGGCCTGTGAGAGGGCCAGTACAGGTCCATTTAAGGCTGGACCACAACCCATGTGCTCATTACCCCTGTTTTGGACATGGCGATGCAGAAGCCAAGAGCTATTAAGTAATTTGCACAGGGTCACAGAGAAAGGAAATGGTAGAATCAATATACAAGTCTCAGTCTATCGATTCCAAAGCCTCTGCTCTTTGTAGGTACAGTTGGCTGCCTCGTTCTGAATGTTAAAGCTACCTCAGCCAAGCTATACATCAAACTCTTGTAAGGCTACGCTACAGGATTTTGTAAGGGATAGGAGTACTAAGGCGTAGAACATACAAGTACAACTAGACGGGGCAGAAGTAAAAGACATGCCTTTGAGAAGCACCCCTGTATGACTGCCCAGTGATCCAGACTGGGGCGCTCTCTCTACTGCACCGGTCATTAAAATAATAATAATAAGGTATCTGGGTAGCAAGAGGAAAAAAAGTTAAAAAAGATGCAGGCAGATCTCCCCCCAAAATGCGAGGAGTTTAAAAATAATTTCTTAAAAGGCTGTGTAAGATAATCATGGGGAAGATGGAGGAAAGAAATAAAGAAATAAAAACTAGGCTAGAACCAAAAGAAGTCAGATCACAGGCATTTTATTGTTATTTTATTGAAAATACTGCATCTGCCTCTTCAGGCTCCCAACACAGTAGAGGCTAGACTGTGACCACGGACACTATGCTGGCAAGTGATACTGGGTGGAAGGTTTCCACTTTATCGACCCAGAAAGGGCTCTGTAAAACCAGAGCAGTGAGAAATACACTATATCCCTCAAGGAACTTCCAGAACATTCCAAATGCTCCTCTCTCTATTTGAAGGCCATAAAATCAGTCATAATACAATTTAGAGGAAAAAGAAAACTGTAAAAGTATTCAAGGAAAAAAAACAAAAACATAAATAATCCCTCTACAGAATAATGTATATATTTTATGTATCTCTCTACAGAATATATAATTTTTAAGTAAAACAATATTTATTATATTCTATATTAATGTGTGATATAAAAATTGTTTACTTTTTAAAGTACAGTACATTTACACACTTATGTACATGTGTGTACCTATATGCGTGTATGTATCCATTCTATATGCAAGCTCAAAGTAAAATTAAAAACCTATACATAATGGATTTATAAATTGGGGAGTCCTGAACTACCAAACAGCCTTGACTTCATAGGACTAAAGTAAACTCACTGGTTTTTACTTCAATTCCAATTTCTGTAGGTTACTGGATTGTAAAACAGCAAATGACTCTTCTCTCTACCCAAAGTCTGATCACTTTTCTCGGCATTTCTTCTCTTTCCAAACTTAGCTACCGTCCGTCCCTTACCTCCTTCACAGTATTAAAGATGGGTAAGTCCAGATGCATCTTGCCTCCTTTCCCTGGGGTTGTTCCTCCAACCAGTTTGGTGCCGTAGTCTAAGGCCTGTTGGCTATGAAAGGTGCCCTGGGGAAAAAGGCCCAAGACCTATGAGAAAGGCAGGCTGGGGAAGGCCAAAGTGAGGCAAAAGCCATCTACGCACTGTAGGCAAAGAAAAAATAGGTTAGCTGGAATAAACAATGACATGTAGCCAGCACTCTCAACCAAAAACCAAACTCACCGCCATTGAGGAGATGCTGACTCACAGCTCCCGCCCCCCAGGACTTATCAGAACTGCTCCTGTGGGTTATGAGACTGCACGTCTTTCAGGGAGTACAGCGTCTCCGCTTTCTCCCTCCGAACAGCTGGTGGTTCCAGGGACAGCGAACCTTGTGGTTAGCAACACAGGGGAACACTGCCATGCCACCAGACTCCCCAGCAGTCTCAACACTTCAGCGAGCAAGGAAACCCGGAAGTACCACTCTGCAAAGTCAAACATCTGTACAGCATCTCCAACCTGGTGGAATAAAACACTCGGCGGCTTTGTTGTTGTTGATAGGTGCCATGGGGTGCATTCCACCTCATAGAGATCCTGTGCACAACGGGACAAAACAATGCCCAAGCCTGCATCCTCTTCACAACTGCTCTCATGTTTGAGCCCATTGCTGCAGCCAGTGTGTCAACCCATCTCCTGACAGTCTTCCTCCTTTGCACTGACTCCCTACTTTACCAAGCATAAAGTCCTTTTCCAGCGACTGATAAAATTCAGTCTCACGTTTTTCCCTTCCAAGAAGCATTCTGGCTGTACTTCCGGGACAGGCGTGCTGGCTCTTCTGCCGTCCATGGTACTCTCAACATGTTTCGTCGGCACGGGAACTCAAACACATCAGTAATTTCTGTGGTCCTCCTTTCTCACCGTCTGATTTTTCCATGCAGACGTGAAAGGCAATCGAAAATACCATGACTCAGGTAGGTGCGTCTTGGTTTTCAGAGTAACATCCCTGCGCTTCAACACTGGAAGAGGTCTGGTGCAGCAGAGTTGCCCAGTGCTGCCTTGACGACGGCGACTTCCATGAGCACTGATTATGAATCCAAGCAAAACGAAACCCTTGACAACGCTGACCTGTTTCCGCAGAGCACCGTGTTGTGTGTGGGTCCAGTGATGAGGATGTGGGTCTTCTTTACACTGAGCTGCAATCCACACTGCACTCCTTGGTCTTCGTCAGCAAGTGCTTCAAGGCCTCCTGGCTTTCAGGAAGCAGTTAGCAGCTGCCAGAGTACGCTGACGCTGATTTAACAGAACCCCTCCTGCTCCCTGTACTTCAACGCCCCGGTCCTCACGTTGCTCTTGATCCTGTTTCTCCCCACCTCCTTAAACTGCCCGATACTCACTGCCATTGAGTCAATTCTGACTCAAGGGACCACGGTCAGCAGCAACCCTGATAGCAGAGCATCGCCTCTACCTATTAGATACCAGTAGCACATCAATTATGACAGTCCAAAATATTTCCTGGCATTGCCAAATATCCTAGATAATCATTCATGCCCTCTCCTCCTTCCTCAAATTCCAACACTCCCCAGCCCATCCCTACTCTCAGCTGAAGAACTTGCTTCCTATTTCACTGAGGAACTGCCACTCTTCCAGCCCCTCATACGCATGCGCACGCATGCGAGTACACCCCACACACACATTCACACATGTATACACACACACATCTCTATACCTCTTTTTCGTGGTTTATATTTTTTCCTTACCATTTATACTTTCTAACATACCACATAATTTACTCTCTGATGTGTGCTTCTCTCTACCACACACAAAACAACATGTAATACTTCCCAGATTTCTGTGTCTGCTATGTTCACTGCAACATGGCACCAAAAAAGATAAAGAGTTGTTGGGGGGAAATGAATGAATCTCTACAGTCATTATACAGGGACTTACAATGCTGTCCTAACTACTCAAAGTTCTATCGAACACACAAAAATTAGAGCCTTAAAAAACAATAATAAATAAATAAATATATATTAAAGCCTTAAAAGGGGTGTTAGGAGCTCTGATTCAACTTCCTCATATTTAAAATCGGAAATTTCGTGCCCAGAATGCTGACTTTCTAAAGTCAGCAGCAGAGTTTGGGAAAGAAGCAAAGCCGTGCGCTGCCTTTAAGCAGTGCTACCCAGTGTGGTCTGCAGGCTCTTCCTGGGAGAGACAAAAAAAATTAAAATGACAAAAAAGGAAATGCTAAATCATTAAAATAAGAAAAAGAAAATATATTTTAAAGTATCTGCAAACATATGTATAAATATGCTTGATACAATTGATGTATGGATTGTATAAGAGCCTCCAATAAAATGATCTTTAAAAAAAAGTACCTGCAAATTATTATAGGAGTAAAATATTGTTGTTATTTTTATGTTACTTTAAAAAAGTATTGATCTAGCCTGCAGGGACAGTGAATTATTTAGCGTGGCTCTTCTAGCCACAGTCTCTAACTCCCACCAAACGACCTTTTCCTGCATGGGTCTTGTAAAAAGGTAGGAGAAGCTACTGATCGGATGCGCCTGTGAGTACTTGGTTATTAGTGAGACCAGAATTCCCTGGTCAACACCGTCCTGCTGCAGATAAAAAGAGCCCTCGGAGAAGTTCGAGTGGAATTTCATTACCAACAAAAGCCAAAAGTGGAGTTCCCCCTCTGGACCAAGATCGCTAAGTAGTGGACCTCCTGGAGGCAGAAGACAGCTATAATATCAGTGCAGCAGCTGCGAAACCAGGAGCCTGAGCATGGAAACCAGGGATGGGCTTCCCCAGCACAGAAGGAAAGCTGAGTGCTTTTGTGCAGGAAGCTGGCTTGCACAGTGGGGTGCCTCTGGGCACTTAAGAAGGGAAGCTGGGTTTGCTGACCCACAGAACTTGAGCTGAATGCTTTCAGGTTGAGACTTGCAATGGAGTGGTATGCCCCAGTAGTATGCCTGAAAGAACATTACAGCATGTCCTGATAAACAACTCAACCCTGAGCATTTCTCACTGGTGTTACAACTTCTTGACTCCCTTAATAAACTCTTGAATCATGAATTTTGCCTGTGAGTTCTGTATAGCCACTGCAGTGGATATTAGAAGCTAGAGGTCAAGTAGAGAACATGAAGGCAGTATACTACCTCAAACCAAATCCACTGCGGTCGAGTCGGTTTTGACTCAAAGGATTAAAAGGAACCAAGAAAGAAACAAAACCCAAACTGGTATTTCAGCCCACTTTGCGGAGCGCGGCCTTAGACCCAGGAGCCCTAGTGGAGCAGTGGGTGACACACTGTGCTGCTAGCCACAGGCCAGAAGTTGGGACTCACAACAAAATACAGTCACAGAAATCCAAATGGGTAGTGTTACTCTGTCCTATGGAGTTGCTCTGTGCAAGAAAGATGAGGCTTTCTACTCCTATTAATCTCGGAAACCCTTGGGGACAAGGTCACTATAGGCTGAAATCAGCTCTATCGCAGTGTGTTTCGGTTCTTCTGGTTTGCTATAAACCACACTGCTGATGAAATTCAAATGAACCAATATAGCTAGTCCGCAGGTAGTGCTACACAGGGATAATATTTCACCTCAAAATAAGGTTACTTTCAAAAAAAAAAAAATAAGGTTACTTTCTGTAGTTTTTCCATTCTCACCAGGCAGTTCACAATTAAGAATCGTTTTAACAGCTCATAAAAACCAGCACAAGAAATTATATGGCACCCACTGGAAATCCGCATTGCTGGAACCTATTCTGAAATATGCACACAAATACGCCTCCAAATGTGGGACAATGAGAGCATTAAAGCACCACCCCAAAAAAAAAAACCACCAACAACAAGATGGAAGGCAAATTTCCTGTGGGAGAAGCCTTAGATTTCAGACCTCACAATTACCTCCGTACTAAGACACTCTGAACCAACAAAGCTGAGACAGTCCAGACTCTCGATTACTTTTTAAAAAATAAAATAAAAACCAGACCAGATTTTCAAATCCTCCTGGATTTCAGCCTTTCAGGAGTCACTGGCTGGATGAACCTCCCAAACTACTACATTGAGATCATCTCTAAATCTTAAATTAAAAATACCCCCTGAAGTCTCCTGAAAGCTGAAAAACGACGGCTTAAAAGCGCAGACTGCGGCTTGAAGCACTGTGGCCCTTACACAGCTACGTGAGAACTGATTAGCAAGAAGAACTCAAAAAGTTAGCCAGGAAACTCGGGTGGGGAGTGCATGCTGATGGGAGGACAATTCAGAAAGGGTAAGATAGTTTTACACGAGTTGAAGAATGAGATCAATGTCAACGAATTATACACGGAGCAATCATTGGCTTCGTATATATTCTCAACAAAATAAAAAAATTAAAATAAATTACAAAAACAAATTTAAAATTTGGAACTCAGGAAAAAAATTAAAATGGAAAGTAAATGAGAAACCACATTAATTTACAGGTAACTAAAAATACCCTGAATTTAGATATTTAGCCAAGCCATCACCTAACTTAAGAGACGGGACAGACCCATTAGCTTACAAAATGGACTGTGAGTGATTCTTTCCCCAAAGCTTAAAGCTCACAATGTACATGGAATCAAGGAAGTCTAGCAAAAAGTAAAAGCAAGAATCCTAAAAGGGAAACATATGCGGGGCATTAAGTTAATCGATTATTTAATTATGTGCTAACAAAATGCAGAGTCACAAAGGGGGCTGAATGTGATTATACTTGGGAGGGGAGCGGTTAGATGCACTTGAAATTTCAGATAAGAATCTGCTTTCTTCAGAACGTGGACAGTGGCAGGGATCTTAGAAAACGTTTGCCTTTTGGCGTAACGACACCAATTTTCCCTATGAACAAAATGCCAGCATTTTAGCAAGTTTTGTTTTCGTTGGCGTTGGGAGCAAAGTCTGCACAACTCATATTTTTATGCCATTATTTAAGGAAAAAGTAAAAAATCAAAAGAACATTTCACATAAAGCAATCGTTTAACCATGTTCTTTTTTAAAGGCTCCAAAAGCTGTATCATTTCAAAGCATTTTCAAAGAGCTTTACAAACAAAAGTGATAGCAATTTGTTTATTAAATACCAGCCCCTAAATAAGGCCAAAGTAAGCAACACTGCCCCTGGGGATACTGGAATGATCAAGGGGAGGCAAAAACACTTTATCCTGGGACTGGGGAACTCTAGAGAGGAAGGGCTAACTAGTTTTATCAGAGCAGCTTCATTCTGTTTACCTACATATTGTCTACAGTTATATTTGCTACTACAATGTTCCCTTTACAAAAACAGTGGGCCAACCCAATCCAAAAGCCATTAACTGCCTATATCTTGCCACAGCACCTTTGAGAATAGAGTGACACTTTGCGTTAAAGACACGGAATCTTCTACTCAGTGGTTCTCAACCTTCCTATTGCTTTGACCCTTTCATACAGTTGCTCATGTTGTGGTGATCCCCAACCATAAACTTACTTTCATTGCTACTTCCTAACTGTAATTTTGCTACTGTTATGAATCAGGCGAACCCTGTGAAAGGGTCATTCGACCTCCAAAGAGGTTACAACCCACAAGTTGAGAACCACTGTTCTAATTGTTTTGATAGTAGTTACTCTTCTTCTTCTTCTTAATCTACCTGTCAACTACGGAAGTATAAATTTGTACAAATTTCCTAAAGAACAATTTAGGAATATCTATTAAAATTTTTCAACATGCAGCTTTTGACACTCAATTTCACCTTTAGGAATTTATTTACACACATTTGTTCTTTGTATCACACTACACAATACCTCTTTAAAGTGTTGAAGACCAAGGGTGGAAGTCTGAGGACTAAGGTGCACCGACTGAAGCCCATGGTACATTCCACCAGCTCACATGCGTGTGAAAGTTAGACAGGGAATAGAGGAGATCAAGAAAGAACTGACGCATTTGAATTATGGTATTGGCATAGAATATTGAAAATACTTTGGACTGCCAAAAGGAAAAAAAATTGTTTCTTAGAAGTGAGGCCACTGTGGCTCCATCCCTTGTACTCTGGAGAAACCAGTCCTTTACCAATGACATCATGCTTGGTAAAGAAGGGGTTAAGAGAAAGGAAAACTGCCAAGGAGGTGGTCTCACACACTGGCTGCAACACTGGCTCAAACACAGCACTGATGACCGTGGCACAGGACTGGGCAGTGTTTCATTCTGTTGTACGTGGGATCGCGATGAGTCAGAATTGACTTGGCAGCACCAAGCAGCACGACAGTGTACATGACATACATTCTATGAATAGATTGTTTACAATACACAGTCTACAGACACAAACTGGAAGACTATATGCCAATTTGTGAAAGAAGGAAAATCCGAGCAGATCCTCGTGTTACATTTAGTTGTAGAATCACATCACAGACACATTTAAACCAATTCCCATAGGGAAGAGGGAAGGACAATAAATATGGATGAATGAGAACAAACTAAAATATTTCAGACGATCTGACTTGCATATCTCCTTGAAGAGCATTTACCACCGAGAGCCTAAAATGGACCTATCTCAGTTCCCACAATCCACTTGGGGCTTGAGCATTTCCCATCACCGCCCGTGGATTCTGTGTTGAACTGTGCGCAAGTTTTTGCACAAGGTCTAGCCACATGCTGTCCACTTTAGCTCAGGTTTCATCCAGTGATTGGTTCCAGTGCTGGAGGAAAGCTAGCTGGGTCTCCACATGGTAAGGTGGTTACTGTTAGTCCCCAGCCCGTTTATTTTTTAGGTAAGTGTTGATAAATACAATTTTCATTTTACCTAATCTCCTCCTCATATACCAGTCTACTCCTACATGATATACGACTTTCCTTCAACAATCATGTATTATTACTTTGGGGATATTAATAAACAAAAGTAGTTAATATTTTATCTTTCATCTACACCTTTAAAAAAAGTTCTAGATATACATACCTGCTTGCCAGTGAAACCCTGGCAAATAATTTTTGTATTTTTATCAATATAGAGATTTTTCCGGGAAGATTCATAGGAACAATGTCGAATTCCATGTTGCTGCACTGAAAGGGAAGGAAACGTGACACATTACAACTTTCACAAGCTTTTGGACCATCCACTGAAAAATATCTCATAATACAGAGTTATCATGCAAATTTAAGTGTAACTTTTTATACAAGTCAAGCAGATTGTTAGAGAAATAAACCAAAAAAGACATGTTTTCACTTTCCAGAATTGTCTCTTCACCAAGAACCACAGTCTTGGATTCTTTTTCCTTAAATAATTTTACTAGGGGCTCGTACAACTCTTATCACAATCCATACACCCTTCCATTGGGCCAAGCACATTTGTGCAGTCTTGAATTCTTATAGCTTGCTACCTTGAGAAAGAAAAGGTGAAATCGATCATTTTTGTTCCTCAGAAAGAAAACTTGGCTCAAGAAAAAATGGCTAAAATCCAAGTATCAAACCCACTGCAGTCAAGGTCATTCCGATCCATGGTGACCTGACAGAACGGAGAACTGCTCCACAATGACAGCATCAGGATGGGGGAGGCTTATTGCCTGGTGAGATGCAGATGACACAACCTGGCTTGCTGAAAGGTAGGAGGTCTTGAAGCACTTGCTGCTGAAGGTCAAGGGCAGTAGCCTTCAGTACGAATTGTAATTCAATGTAAGGACAAAACTCCTCGCTGTTAGATGGCAGACCCATCGCCTGTCATCTGTGTCCCAAAACTGGCCGTGCGAAGCACACGGGGTGTCCATGAGGTGGCCCACAAAGCTATCCCAGAAAAGAAAGTCTCATCACCTTAGTCCACGGTCTGCACAATGCTTTCGGCCCAGAATCACAGCCTCGTGCCCTTGTGGGTCTTTGGACATTAGATTCTGTAACTGAGAACACCTCAACATCTGCTTCTGACCTTTCGAGCACTCCTCCCAGTTCCTTGTCTTGCGTACTAACAACTTTGGTTTCTAACTGCTTTGACTTGAGAATTCCCTCTACCTTTAGGGAAAAGTTGGATCAGATTTCACCCTTGGCCTTCATGGAGAGGTTGTTCTGAGTGTGCTACATTCTTGGACTTACGTATGCTGAGCAAGAGGCCAAGAGAAACTTTTGGAAATCAAATCCTGACACAGTGGGCTCAGCTCAGCTCCTGAGACTTGGCCACTGGACATGAAAACAAGAATCTGTGGCCTGAGTGACTGCCTCCGCCGAGCAGTGCAGCAGAGAACAACAGAGCCAGTACGATCCCTCCCTCACGGCTCTGCCATCTGGGGCCCCAAACCACAATGTTTGTGGAATAGCTGCATTCTGTACTCCCATTGCCATTCCTGCTGAGGTGATCGCACCTGCTCCTCCAATCCTGGATTTCTAAAAACAAACAGAACACCTGGTGGGGCAGGAGCGGGAAGGGGCAGAGGGACTTCCAAGTATCAGTTTTCAGGCCAGAAGATAGAAGGTTAGATAACAAATTCAGGTGACAAGATCAGAGCTTATTCCACACTTACTAGCCCACCTGACATTTCACATTGACAATACTATTATGTATATTAATGATGTACATTGGGTAGTCAGGAACACCAAGGTGGGGGGCTAGAGTGATGCTGGTTGCGAGGGTTAGCGCTATGTGTCCACTTAACGGGCAATTAAGTGGGCAAAACGAACAATTCATGGACAAAAAGCAGGGTTGTGATTCCCACTGACTGTAATATATAATTTGGCAATAATATAAAGATGTGGCCATCCTCCATTCTGTGATTTAATGAAGTCATCCTCCACTTTCAAGAACCGTTGTCATGAAGGGCCTAGTCTGTGGAACCCACCCATATGGAGAGGAAGGCAGGTGTACTTATTAAAAGGAAAATACTTGGTTTTTGTTTGTAAAGTCTGATCCTCCATAAACACTCTAATACTAATTTCAGAATGGGGATACCAGACAGTTTACTCCGTTGCCCTCTGAGAAAGATAAACAGGTTGGCCTCGGTTGGTAATGATATGGCCTCAATCCTAGATCCTTACCACCTCCTCCTCCTACTAACTCCAGACCTTCCGTGATCAACTCGGTAGAGCTCCGGAGAGCCATGTAAGGTGCTCATAAAAACAGAATCGGAAACTGTGATCAGTAGCAGCTCACCTTGCAGACTCCTAGTCCTTTGGGATTTCGCAGTCTGTGTGATGAATACCCTTGCATCTGATGAAATGGATTCTGGAGGCCTGCTAGGCGTATATGTGGGTGTGTGAACAAACATGTAAACACGTGATTTCCATGGCTACTCCTATACCTGTTTCCCATATGCATAGTCTCCACATGTGCACTCTAAGATCCACCTAAACAAACTCAGTCATCAGGTTGATTCCGACTCGCGGCAACCCTACAGTGACCCTAAGACATTCCTGACCACATGCTAGCAAGCAATTCGTCTGCCACGCAACACGGGATCTGAAACCGACACGCATTGCCATCGGGTCAGCTCCAACTCAGAGCCACCCTACACAGACAGGGTTTCCCAGGCTACCCATCTTCACAGAGGCAGGCAGTTTCAGCTTACTCCCACGGAGCAGCTGGTGGGTTTGAACTGCTGACGTGGAGTTAGGAGTCCAACCCTTACCCAGCAGCGTCACCAGGGCTGCTAGGATAAGAAGGCACCTATACCAATCCCAGGGGTTGTCATGGACATTCATTTATTCAACAGTCATTGGGAAACACCAATAGTCAAGCTACAGAGCCAGACTTCAAGGATGATGTGTTGAACAAGAAAGTTCAAGTCTTCCAAAAGCCGGCCCTCTATCTTGACTAACAAAAAGCAGGCTTTGGCCTGTTTGGGGGCGATAAAGTCCTCCATCCCAAGACAGAGCAATCTCTGTTGGTGTGTGCATGGCATAGGGCAGGGTTAAAGGAAGGATTCCTCAAGGCAGTTAACTCTATTTGGTCTTGCACAGTGGGAAACAAAGATTTCTCCCAAATTGTCTCCCCCAATATATGCCAAACTTAGCTGCTTGCTACACATGGCGAATGACTATGCACTTGGAGGTCAACAGAAGTAGGTCAGAGGTTATTCTCCCTAAAAGTTATCAGCCATCTAGAGCAAGCAGACACCATTGTTTATCCCGCAACAAGTAGGGCCCACTCCCTTCAGATAAGGGTAGTAGATTGTTTCCCTGTAGGAGAGCCCAGGGAGGTCAAGCCCACCCAAAGGTGACCAAGGTTAGGCTGCCATATTGAGTCTAGGGTCCACCCATCTTGTCACACGCACACCCCTAGCTCATCCCCTTCCTGTCATGCTGATGCCTATTGTACATCCCTTCCTATGATGTATATGCCTATTGTACTGCCCCCTCCTGTGACGTGTGGTTACCTGCAATCACGCCCCCCTAAAGAGTTATAAGCCTTGGTTATCAATCAACGGGGGACCCCGGCTGTCTCCACCCCATCTCGCCTTGGCCCACGCTGTGCGCGGACCTGGCTGCTAAGAACATGGCCATCTAGGTGAGTGTGCTACCATGAAATGTGTCTGACTTCTTTATTTTACTCTCTCCTATCGCTCTCATGCTCTATGACTTCTTGTAATCTTTATATATCTCAACCGTACAATTGCCCTTACTGAACTCATGATTAGTTGTGGGGGCTGGCCTTTCCCCCACATTGCACTACCTGCAATTTACTCCTGAAATCCTCAATACTTAGTCTCCAGTACAGAAAGAACTTTATGTGATTCCTCACTGACTTCCCTGTAACTAAAAATTCCATTCACTTCTACTCCATCCTTACCCCTACCCCAACCCAACTTGCCTGGGGTGATCAAAAATGATGTCATACAGGAGGGCGTAGCCTAGGAGATCCCAGATGTGAACTCACTCACTGGTTCCCTGTTATGGGCCTCATTTTCTAGATGACTGCTCTTGGCCATATAGGTGATAATAAAATGATGATAATGACAATGGTTTCTGAAATCCAGAGGAAATCTTGAAGAGCCCCAGCAAGCTGGGACGGTTTACCATAATCACCACCAAATGTCTTCTAATCCCAGAAACTCACCTCACTCTAGAACTAAAGCTTGCTCTATTCCTGGTCCTTTACACCAAGTATACTCTTCCCTCCTGCCTGATGTGAGACACTAAAAGCCAGCTCACCATATGGACTGCCCGGGATATTATCTCTTTGGCTCAATGTTCCTGCTAAGCATATCTGTTTGTTTCTTTCAACTAAAGAAAGGCTCTATGAAACCTCATTCTCTGACTGACATATTACCTTAACGTATGCCTCTTCTAACACTACAGTCAGACACTAAAATCAGTCTCAAAGTCAATGACACCATTGTTGCTAGGTGCCGGTGAGTTAATGTAAACACCCCAATTATGTTTCTCTAGTAGAAATTTGAGATGAGAAAAATCAAATCCCTTTCTCAAGGTACATTTAGACCAAGGCCACTCTGTGTATTTGAATTAAAGGTTTAGCTCTCTGACGGAATAGCAATGGATACTACTATCAGAAACACCACTTACACCTCCTTGATGCTAAAAACAGGCTGTTACAACTTGGCAAACATGTGGAAACAGCAGGTGGCAATGTGAGCAGGGCAGTCACCTTCTCAGCAAAGCACTGAGACTGCCAAAAAGTCCCAGCTTCAGAAAAGGAGGCTCAAACTACCACACAGGAAGTAAGTGGAAGGGCACAGCCCAGTCAGCACAGACCTGGACTCTAGTGCCCCTTCTGAGATTAGCCAACATAATCCTTCTGGGTTTTTGTCTTCTTTTTCCAAAAAGAGGTGTGCACCCAGTTTCAATTTCTGGCATTAAAATGCCATATTTCTGAATTTCAAAAAGACTGGCTCTTGTTCCCTATTTATGCTGAAAGACCTTCCTTATGGGAACTCTTGGCTCAAATGGCCTTGTATCACTTTATACTTGTTGAAAAACTTCCTACCTCAGCTTCAAAGCTGCTTCTAAAATCCTTAAACTTTCTCAAGAAATAAATCTTTCTCGTTTTTTCACTTTATTTTCTCTCTCCACTTCGACCAGTAGCATCCCCTTTTTTTTCACAAGCTACTAAACTGCTCATAAATGTTTAGGCACTCAGACTACCCCAACAGGAAAGAATTGACAAGCTATTTTTGTTTTCTGTTTTCTAACTCAAATTAATATTGCAACATTTATGACCTTCAGCCCGTCAAGTGCAGTCAATTGAAACTTAAAAGAACAAAGGGGACCGAATATACCCTGGTGCATAGCATTCTGTTATTAACCTCACAGTTTAAAAATCTGTGATTGTCTACATGAAATGTTTGCAAAGTGGGAGTAGTGTGGCTGCTGTGTTTTCTCGTAGGTGTGGAAATGGGCTCAGAAATGAGGCAAGGCAAAGAGAAGATTTGGGGGATTCGTGTCTTTGTACATGAAACGCCATAGGCTGAAATCCCCTAAATATAGGAGGGCTTGGTTTCTACCTCACACCTGTCAGATCTTTAATACTGAATTAATCTCATGAATTGGATAATTAAAGACCGCTCCAGCAACAAAAATGTAAGCTAAGATGATCACTTAAGACCATCTGATCCTGGAAGGGAAAACGAACATCCATTTCTGTGTGAAGAGAGTGGTGAAGCATTGCTAAAAGCAGACGAAAGCACTTGATATGTTGGACATGATTTCTTTAGACTCTGACCAGCACTGGGATCTGTCAGAACCTCATTCAGGCACACTTCCTTTTACTGTGTTTCACGGACAAGTGAATTTTTCACAACCGAAGGCTTGTGGCAACCCTGCATTAAGCAAGGTCAAAGGTGCCATTTCCCAACGCCAGGTACTCACTTTGTGTCTGTGTCACAATTTGGTCATTCTCATCAACGCTACTACACGCTTTAATGGACTACAGTGCAGTATACACCTAACTTTAACGTGCGTTCAGAAGCAAAAACCTCCAGCTGACTCACTGTGGTAGTTACACAATTTCATGTCAACTTAATAAGAATGGAGGGGTGGAGTCTAGTCTGTCAATCAGGTCTGAGTCTGACTGATGCCTCCTTGTGGGCGTGACCTTCTAATGAGGATTCTGGGGACTCTCTCTCTGCATCACATTCCTGTCAACAAGCCACACGGAGCCATGCTGATGGCAGCCAGAGCTCTGGAGATGCTTCCACCGCCAATGGATCCACAGGACTTTCCACACACCGGCCTGTGGTCTTCCTACATTCAGCATCATTGAATTTACTACATGAGTCTGAAGAAGAATTCATGAGTTGATATCGGACTTATGGACTTGATCTGGACTGACTAGGATATTTTATTGATGCATAATTACTTCTTGATATAAAGTTCTCTCTTACACACATATGAATGTTTCTGGATTTGTTCCTCTGGTCAACCTGGCCTATCACACTCACTTTATTGTGATGTTCTGGAACCAAATCTGCAAAATCTCAGGGGAGATTTTGGGCAGTTCCTTCCGGGGCTTGCCCACCACACTGGCGGAGCTGCATAACTGCCTTCTCCTACATCCTAGTCCACACCCCATTCGAATGAACTGGTGGAGGCCAGCACCCTTGACAGGAGCAGACAGCTTCACTTTCCCGTGGAGCGGCTGATGGGTTCAAACTGCTGACCTAGCAGTTAGTAGCTCAATGTGTAACCCACTAGGCTGCCAGAGCTCCTTGAGAACCCAAGGTGTAGTTCTACCCCATCCCATAGGGTCACTATGAGTCAAAATTGACTCAGTAGCGGTGAAATTTTGAGTGAAAGACCAATACCCAATACACCTGATTCCTGGTGCTCAAACTGCTGACCAGAGTAATTACTGGGTAATACTGATCTTTTTCTCATCGTACTAAGAAACCCTCAACTGTCCTTTAAGTTATACAATAAGGATCTCCAGAAAACCATCCTAAACAAACCCAACTCTTACTTGCCCAAGTTATCCGGAAAGTCTTAAGTCCTCCCCCTGAAAACACAACCCATTGCCATTGTGTAGGTTCTAACTTGTAGAGACTGTAAATCCAACACATCTGGACCACACAGGACGGAGTAGAACTGCTCCATAGGGTTTCCAGGGCTGTAAACATCAGCAGAAGCAGATTTCCTCCTCTTTCTCCTGCAACTTTTTAATTAGCTGTGCAACACTTAGCTCACTGAGCAAGTAAAACTGTCCCATAGGATTTCCAAGGCTGTGATGTGTGCAGAAGCACAGTGCCACATCTTTGAGAGATGCCAAAGAGAAATCGCTGACCTTTCCTTCAACTAGCAGACAAGCTTTTAACTTCTGGGCCACCCAAATTCCTTCTTGTCCTGTGCATTAGGCACTGGGCTGCTAATCGCAAGGTTACTAGTTCAAACCCATTCCCTGCTCCTCAGGAGAAAATGCGGCTATTTGCTCCCATACAAATGTACAGTCTTAGAAAGCTCAGAGTCACTGTGAGACAAAATTGACTTGCTAGCAAATTGAATTTGGACTTACTGGGGAACTGAGAAACACAGGTGGTGCAGTTGTTAAAGGGCTCAGCTGCCAGCCTAAAACGTGAATGGTCGGGCTCTACCATCCACTCTGAGGGAGGAAGCTGTTGCAGTCTGCATCCATGAAGACTACAACCCTGGGAAACCTGTGGGGCAGCTCTACTCTGTCCTAGCAGGTCAACTCCCTGGGGGTAAGGGGTATGATTTTCTGGGTGAGTATACACTTATCATTGCATACTTTTGGAATATTTATTCACTATTCAGCACAAGCCCTAGGATGAGGTGCAAAGTGGATGTTAAAATGGGAGAAGAAAACTAGCTTTAGAGGAGTGCAGATTACACACCAGGTGCTTTACATAAGCTTCGTTGACACAGTGAGCCCAGGTCATCCCGATTTGCAAAATGCACATTTCCCCACTTTTAAAACAGCTCTTATACCAGAATGTCAACCAATGCTGTGTCACAATTTTAATTAGCAACTATTTGACATTGTTGGTAGCAGACAAAATAATGGGGCAAGTGCTACTGTCTTCAATTAATTAAAGTATGGAATCATCCTTCCCACTCCATGGGATTTCAAACAAGAACAAATAAGTGTCCAGGATTAATGCTCAACCTACATAAAGGACCAGTCAGATCTCAAACCCTGGCGTGACCGATTCCAAAGTCTGTTTCAGCTACAGGGACTTTGATCACAGTAAGATACTCAGCACCGCTCACCCTTGGGCATTACTTAATCAGAAACGAGTGGTGTTCCCACGGCCGGCTTGAAACACTACAAATACGTTGGTTAAGTAAGCCCCAGCCAACTATAAGCTTCTAGGAGTCTTCTGGGCCATGAGGACTCTGGGTGCAGCACGCAGCTTTCCTTGACCCTGGCACACTGGAAGGGCAATTTGACTAGCCTGCCTTGTAACTGTCAGCCTCGCTCCTAAATTCCCTACCGAGAAATCCTCATCCCTCTCGACGCAGAAATTCACCATCCCAGCTGAGCTGAACCCCGATCACCACACGCCTCACTCCCAGCCTGCAACTCTCAAAGTCTGCACAGCTCCGAGTCCCGACTACGGGCCCAGCCTCCCCCACCTCTACACCCCATTCGCCAGCAGCTGGAGCTCCGGGGCTAGGCCAAGCTCCCCACTTTCGCTCCCCACCCCCACCCACTGGACCTCCGTTCCACTCCACGGAGCCCCGAGATGCCTGCGCCCCGCCTGGCGTCGCACCTACGGACTCAGCGAGGCCTGAGCCCCAACTTCGGACCTGGCGGGGCCAGGAACCCGCGGAGACCGAGAAAAGAGGGTCCCCGACGGACTCACCGAAAAAGTAGCGCGTCAGGAGACGGGAGACAGCGAGGCCGCTGCTGCCGGAGGCCATGGTCGCGGCGGCAGCGCCGGGGCTGCGGTCATCCGCCAATGACACTCCCAGGCCCCCGGGGACCTGGCAGGGCCCGGGCACGGGCGGGAGAGTGACTAAAGCAGTCGCCTGAACGGATTTACACAGGTGGCAGCCTCTGCTCGGAACATTTGGGATCGATAGTGGAAATTTTAAAAGCATGTTCACGCGGGAGTGAACAATAGATGTTTTTAATTTTGAGAAATGTGGGTTAGAGACGGCAATAATTATGCTGGCAGCTAGAGGAAACCCCAATATGAGATTGCGTGGCGCCTGGCATTGTGGGAAATGTAGTTTGGCAAGTGCCACTTGCTTGTAATACTGGGACCCGGTGGGAGCGGTGGAACGAGTTAGTCAAATTGAAGAGATGGGGGCCATGCGGGCAAAGGAGCCAAGAATCTGAAAAGAGGAGCAAGATCGATGCCGGAATTTTGCAAGTGCCTAGACCCATCTTTCTGTGTCTTCGTTTTTCTAGTCGGCCATACAGAAAGGAGAATAATACCAGTTCCTTCGCCCGCCTACTGGCCTATCTTTGTGATTAAAGAGGACAACAGACAATCTGGACGCCATCAGTGTCCCACGAGGGAAACAACGTGACCAGAAAGACCAGAAAATACACTTATTTCTTGAAATATGAAACTTTTCCTTAACCTATCACCCAACCTTTGTCCAGCTCTAAGTGGATGAATGCCTGGTCCATGGGGACTCAGGAGTCTGAGGTTCTAGGTCAAATGTGACTTTGCTGTTCATTCCTTCCATACGTGTTTAAGAAGTAGCCTTAGAGAGCCCAGAGTCAAAGGGTAAACAAAATAATCTCTTCCCTGCCTCCAAATGAGTTCCTGGGATGACATCATTAAAAATATCAATAAAATCATCACTCCAGTTTGCTTGAACCATAGAGTTGTATGATGTGTGAGTAGGAATACCCACGGCGATTACTCAATATTTCCTCTATAACCCAGATATTCTCAGGCCAAAGTTGAACTGACTGCACACAAATCCCTCTTTGATTGAATGGATCATGTACTTGTGATAATTGAATCCTTCAGTGTCACTAATAGCAAATTCACGTCCATCTACTTGAAGCTGACTTACAGCAACCCTGTAGGGAAAGGTAAAACTGCTCCTGTGAATTTCTGAGACTAATGCTACGCAGGAGTAGAAAGCCCTGTCTTTCACTCTCAGAGTGGCTGGTGGTTTAGAACTGCGAACCTTGCAGTTAGCAGTTGAGATAGTTTATTGTGCCAGCCTGGCCCATAAACACAAGTGGGATTAACTGAAAGGCAGAGAGATAAATGGCTCCGTGAGCCTTGCCTTTCTTGTCTCTTGCTCTTTGATCATCACACCAGTGTGCGGTTGCCTTGCTTGTTCTGTGCCTCAATTTACAGGCTACACTACCTGTGGGACGCCTAGCCTGTGGACTGGGTCGCTGTAAGTTGAGGTCCCTTTAAGACATCTCTGGAGCTGGGGACTGGCGGTTGGTGACCTGCCTTGTGATTGGCTGCTGTGCTGAGATAGTCTAGCTCTCTCTATATATAGAGGAAGACCTGGCAGCAGACGAGACTGCTAGTGTCTCACAACTTGCTCTCACGGGAGTGAGTTGCACTGAGCCATTTGTACTGCTTTATAATTTAACAGTTCATTTCTTGTATTATATATCTATCTGTATATAATTTAACAGTTCATTTCTTGTGTTATATATCTAATTATCTTTATAAATAAATATTTTAAATTATCAGCAATTTGGTTTTATCTCTCTAGAGAACCCTGTCTAACACAGCAGCAGTCCAATGCATCACCACTATGCCATGAGGGCTCCTTTTACTAGTACCAGTGGTTTCCCAGGATGTCCAGTGTGAAAAATATTTTTAAATATGTTGTTTTCATTGTTGTCAGGTGCCGTCGAGTCAGTTCCAACTCATATCGACCCTCTGTCCAATAGAGTGAAACACTGTCTAGTCCTGCACCAGCCTCAAAATTGTTCTTATGTTTGAGCCCATTGCAGGAGCCACTCGCTCTCAAGGGCCTTCCCCTTCTACACTGCCCTTCTACTGTACCAAGCATCGCGTTCTTTTCCACACTGGTCCCTCCAGATTATGTGTCCAGAGTATGTGAGAAGTCTCACCATCCTTCTCTGGGAGATATACTTACAGGAGATACTTCTGTGGAGGCAGATCTTTTCGCTCCTTTGGCAGTCCTTGTGCCAAATATTCAATATTCTTTGCCAATGCCATATTTCAAATGCATCACTTTTTATTTGGTCTTCCTTATTCAATGTCCAACTTTCACATGCTTATGAGGCAATTGAAAATACCATGGCTTGGATTAGGTGCACCTTAGTCGCTAAAGTAAAATCCTTGTTTTTCAACACTTTAAAGAGGTCTTGTGCAGAAGATTGCCTCAAGGCAATGTGTCCTTTGAGCTTGTGTTAGGCCAAGTTGACTACAGAAACAAATCCAGAAACACTCATATATGGGTAAGAAAGAGCTTTATAGCAAAAGTAATTGTATATCAGGAAAACATCCCAGCCCAGGCCAGAACAAGTCCATAAGTGCAATGCTAGTCTATAAGTCTCTCTCTAGACTGACAAAGCCACATTCAATGGTGCAGAATGCAGGAACATCACAGGCTGGTGGTTGCTGTGGATCCAATTACATTGGACGAATCTCCAGCTCTGACAACCATCAGGGTCAGCAAGCCCAGAGGTGAAGGCAGAGAGAGAGAGGGACGTTCCCAGGAACCTCCCAATGAGAAGGTCACACCCATAAGGACGTACCATCAGGCTGTGACCTGATTGACAGGCTAGACTCCACCTTACACTTTTATTTATCAAATTGACATGAAATTATGTAACGACCACACCTCTTGACTGCTGCTTCCCTGAACATTGATTGTGGTGCCAAGCAAGATGAAATCCTTGACAGTTTCAACCTTTTCTCCATTTATCATGATGTTACTGATTAGTCCAACTGTAAGGATTTTGGGGTTTTTTTACATTAGGTTGTGATCTATAGCAAATTTTGCAACCCTTGACCTTCATCAGCAAGTACTTCAAGTCCTCCACACTTTCAGCAAACAATGCTATGTCATCTGCATATCACAGGTTGTTAATTAAGCCTTCCTCCAATCCTGATTTTTCTTCACACAATCCAGCTTCTCTGTTTATTTGCTCAGCATACAGATTGAATAAATATCATGAAAATATACGACTCAGATCCACAACTTTGCTAATTTTAAGCCATGCAGTATTACCTTATTTTATTACATGCCTCTTGGTCCATCTCCATATTTGTCATGGGCACACTATAGAATTTGGGGATTCCCATTCTTCTCAACGCTATACATAGTTTGCTATGATCCAAGACTCCTTTGTATAATCAGTGCCTTTGCATAGGCAATGAAACACAAATAAACACCTTTCTGGTATTCTCTGCTTTCAACCCAGATCCATCTGACCTCAATAACCTCCTGTTTCACATCCTCTACTGAATCTGACCTGAACCTCTGACAGCTGCCTGTCACTGTACTGCTGCAACCACTGGTGGATGATCTTCAGCAAATGTTACTGTCATGTGATATCAACGATATCGATATCGTTCTATAGTTTGAGCATCCGGTTGGGTAACTTTTCTTTGGAATGGGTACAAATATGGATCTCTCTAGTCAGTTGGCCAAGTATCTGTCTTTGAAATTTCTTGGCATAGATGAATGAGTACTTTCAGTGCTTCATCAGCTTTTTATACATAGTATTTGGCAATAATATATAGCTATATATTTTTACCGAAGTACCAATGTAATAGTAGTTACAATTTTAATTGATCAGTACACTGCATGATGACCAGAAAAATTTTGTCTCAGCATGATTTTAATAAATTTTTAGCTTCATGAGGACAGGGATTATAGTATGTCTTGTTCACTGCTGTACACCCAGCACCTGGAAAAATGAATGTCTAGCGCAAATGGAAAACCTGTCATCTGCTGAGCTAATGAAATGGACATGTCTTTTCCTTCCTCACTTATCAACTGTCTCATTGTTTGACATTTCATATTTACAACCCCAGTAAAAACTTCAGCATACTATTTTGTACATTAATGACATATCTTGCAGTAATGAATGCTGAGGTGTGAGACAAAACTGATGTTGGCTATAATGCTTAAGGTTATGTGTCAACTTGGCTGGGCCATGCTTTTCAGTGGGTTAGCTGGTATGTAATGATGTAATTAGCCAGTTATGTAATGATGTAATCCTTTCCCATTTTCCAAAAATGCCAATGTTTATGTAGTAATCTGGTCTTTGGAACCACATTGACAAGTGAGGAGTGGGCAGTACAGGAGAAATAGCATTGAATACAGTGTTTGAGGGTCCTATCGATATTTCAGCCACTCACAATCATTCCAGCCTGATTCCAGTTCTTCATCTTATATACTGAGGGCAACAATGACATTAGACAATACCTAGACTACTAATTTATATATACAAATAGATTTTTGAAGTTGAATCCAGTGAATCCGGTCTAAGACAGGTCTGGATTCCAATTCTAACTCCACAACAGGCTCTGTGATCTCTCAGTCTCAAGTTTTCTCACTAAGATAGGAATGAAAATCCCTATGTCAAATCATAACTACTATTTTATTAAACACTCATAAGGTGCCAAAAGCTCATTGTTGTGTTATTGTGAGCCTTTAACACCTTGTAAGTGCTTGATAAATAGTAGTTATTATCATTAATTACCCCCATGCAGGTCAGTTTGCCCCACTGTGGTGCCTTATGTGTTGCTGTGATGCTAGAAGCTATGCCATGAGCCTTTCAGATACCAACAGGGTCACCCCTGGCAAGCAGGTTTCAGTGGTGCTTCTAGATTAAGAGAGACTGAGAATAAGGACGAGGCCTCCACTTTTGCAAAGCTGGCTGCTGCAGAACGTTGTCAGATATAGGTCCAGAAGACAAACACCCCCAGGACAACGGAACAATCGATGTCTTTGCATTATGGCATAGATGAATATTAAACATACCCTGGACTGTTTGAAC